AGTGTTGCTACTTATGCAATAGTGACTGTTTTGCTCCAACTACATTTTTGGTGCTGAGATTATAGATGGAGAAAAATATTACCTCGGACCATTACGTAATCAAATGAAACGTGAACCAAAACGTCTGTTTGTAAAGTTCTGTGAGTCTTTTACTACTTAGGTAATGTAAAATATAAGTAGCATGCTCTTGCATTTCATTTCGTGAGATGGTTGATTATACGTGGGACCACAGAGAGTAAGATTTCAGTGGGAGGTGGTTTCGTTTGATTCTCGTATTTCATGTACGTGACATGTTGTCTCGCCTTGTTTTAGACATTTATGCCTCAGATGGTTTTAGATTGTTTGTGAGTGGTTGTAGACGTTTTTGAGGTGGTTTTGGGTGGTTGTTGAAATTTTTGAGGTGGTTGAAGATGGTTGTAGGTGGTTTAAGGTCGTTCCATGTTTTAGTACTTACGGCGCAAGCTGGCAAGAAACTGTGTGAGTTTGGAGAATTGAATGATTCTTTAATACGGGATTGTATTGTGTGTGGCATCTGAAGTAATCAAGAAACGTCGTTTGAGAGACAAGGATCTAGATCTGAATTAAGCCGTTGAAATTTGCAAGTCATCTGAGATCACTGAAAATCAATTGAAAAATATTGCTGTTGATCAAGATGAGCGAGAGGTGCACGAAGTCAAGAGCGACTTTAAAAAGCCACCTGGGAAACCTAACGGGGGAAAAAGCCAAAGCAAACAAAGAAACCATTCAGCTGTAAAAGTTGGGGGCAAAATCACGAGCCCAAAAAATGTCCAGCATAGAGTCAGATTTTCCACAAATGTCAGAAAAGAAATCATTAAGCGAAAATGTGCCTTTCAAAGCCAAGGGACAACTCTAAACAAGTAGATGAACGCAAGTTGGATGATTCAGACGGACGAATTCTTCACTGGAGCATTAGGAACTAATTCATGTAAACAGAAAGATTGGATACAAAAAGTGGTCATCAATAATCTCCAGCTGAACATGAAATTGGACACTGGTGCCCAATGTAATGTTTTGCCGTACTCTTTGTATTGTAAGTTGACAAGAGAGATGTTGATTAAGTCAAACACCCGCCTTGTGTCCTACACTGGTCATAAGATACCAGTCAAGGGGAAAGCCACTTTCCCGGTGAAACTCAACAGCTAGATCTACCCAGTTGAATTTCATGTTATTGAGCATTCAGCCACACCTATCATAGGTCTTGAAACCTGTCAAGATCTGCATCTAGCCAGGAGAGTCAGTGTGGTCGATACCCAAAGGGATGAGAACAGGTCTAGTAACATTAGAAACATGTATATGGAAGAAATTTCAAAGGAGTATGAGGATGTATTTGATGACATTGGATGTTTGGAAGGACCATATCAGTTTAAGATTGATCACAGCCTGACTCCAGAGGTGCACCCACCTCGTAAAATACCCTTAACCCTGAGAGAGAAAGTCATAGAAGAACTTGACCGCATGGAAGAATTAGGTGTTATCCACAAGGTAGATGAACCCACCAGATGGGTCAGTTCTCTAGTGGTGGTACAGAAACCAAATGGCAAAATACGTGTGTGTTTAGATCCCAGAGATCTAAATAAAGCTATCTAGAGAGAGCATTATCCGATTGTTTGATTTTTCCTAATTTTGGTTTCCCTGTTCTACGTAGAAGTTAGTGTCACGAGACCGGTTTTCCATATTTGGTATTGTACACGAGGTTTTCTGTTTAGATTAAAAAATAGTTCTTCCGCCATCTTGATCTAGTTACTGTGTTCCTGGCCTTTTATTCGGAATACACAACACCGATGAAATCCAGAGAGGAAGTTGCAGCTGAACTGAATGATGCCAGGGTCTTTAGTGTGCTCGACGCCAAATTCGGGTTCTGGCACATCAAGCTTTATGAAGCAAGCATGCAGTTGTTGACATTCGACAATCCACTTGGCTGATACCAGTACTTAAGGATGTCATTCGATATCAACTCAGCACCTGAGGTATTTCAAAAGAAAATTACCCAAGCATTCAAGGACCTTAGTGGTTGTCACGAAGCCAGTAGACAATTCTTGTTTTCCTTTTTAAACACTTTATAATTTATCTTAAACTTCTGAAAAACTTATGATCTTGAACCTTATTTATAGTAGCCGATTACATCATACTTATTTCTGAAACAGTATTTCTAGCAGCAAGAACATTCTAGACGCTAATGATGACATATCCTTAAAAATAACTCAATAGAATGTTCCGGAATATGGAAAAGTTTGTAGCTCAGCTTATGCAATAGCATTGTGGTAAATCAGTGCTCTATTAATCTCTGGAAACTTCGTTACGTTCTTTCCCCCTTAAGTTTCTAACAGTGGCCCACGTGATAAGCCATCAGCATTGCCATGTTGTACTCCAGGTTGATGGCCTAATTCATATTGGTACTGCTGCATAGCTATTGCCCATCGCGTCAACCTCTGGTTTGTGTCTTTCATTTTTGAAGCCAGGTCAGTGGTTTATGTTGAGTCTATAATAAAGGGCATTCCATGAAATTGCTTCAAAGCCCAGACAATAGCGAGACACTCTTTCTCGGTCGTTGAATATTTTGTCTCACATGGTAACGGCTTTCTCCTGGCGTAGGCCACTGGGCGTTCTTTACCATATTCATCTATCTGGCTGAGAACAGCTCCTATGTCCAAATCACATCCGTCAATTTAAACTATGAAAGGCTTGTCAACTTCTGGTGCTTTTAAAACTGGACCAGATATGAGTGCATTCTTAAGTTTTTCAAAAGCCTTGTGGTTCTCTTGGTTCCATTGCACAGTCTCTGGTTTCACTTTCTGGGTCAGAACAGTAAGTGGTGCTTCAGTATTGGAGTAGTTCAGTATGAAACGTCTGTAATAGCCTGTAAGACCAAGGAAGTCACGGACTTCAGATTTGGTCTCCGGTTGTTTGTAGTTCTTCACGGCTTCTACTTTTTTGGGATCTGGGAGAATCTTGCCCTCTCCAATCACGTGACCCAGGTGTTGCATTTGAGTGTAGCCAAGTCTGCACTTTGAACTCTTCAACGACAAATTGGCATCTCTCAAATGGGTAAATACTTTTCTCAAATGCATTAAGTGATCATCCCAACCCTCATTGAAAACTGGGATATCATCGAAGTCGGGATCAACAAAGGATTGATATCCACTTAGTAGATGATTCATCATCCTCATGAAGGTTGCTGGTGCGTTGTGTAATACAAATGGCATAACGACAAACTCGTATAATCCGAATGACGTTGCGAATGCTGTCTTTTCCATTGAAGCCTCACGCTTTGGAATTTGCCAGTATCCATGGGCGAGGTCTAGGGTAGAAATGGATCTTGCCTTTCCCATCCTCTTGATGACTCCATGGCATTGGGTAAGTATCGAATTTTGCAACTTTGTTGAGCTTTCTGTAGTCAATGCGGAAACGAATTCCACCATCTTTCTTGGGTACAATTACAACTGGTGATGCCCAAGGGCTTGAAGAGGGTCTAATCACACCCATTTCAATCCATTTCTTGTCGAGCTCATCTTTCACCAACTGTCTTTGGGACAAGGGAATGCGGTAAGGTGCTTGTCGGATCAGGCTTGCATCTCCAACTTCAATTGAGTGCTTGAAAGCTTACGTTCTGCCCGATTTGTTCATGAAAAGATCTCTGAACTTGTGAAGCAACTCTTCCAGTGCAAATCTTTGTTGAGAGTCGGGTTTAGGGTTGATATCAACTTTTATCCCATCCTCATCACCAGATGATTTCTCAGTGTGGAGTAAAAATTCCTCCAAATCTTCCTCTTCACAACTCTCTGCACTGTGGCCTTCTTGACTGTCATCCAGGGCAGTAAACACCTCTACCGTCTCAGGCTTCTGCCATTTCTTCAACAAGTTAACATGGTACACCTTCTTCTCTCTACGCCTTCGGTTGGATACTCGCCTGGAGTCTGTACCTTGTAATCAACTTCAGATACTCTTCTCATCACTTTATGCAGGCCATTCCACTCAAGTGGCAACTTACTTCTTCTTGCAGGTTCAAGTATACGCACTTCATCTCCCACTTTGAGGTCTCGTGGTTTGGACTTCTTGTCATAGTAATTTTTCTGCTTCTTCTGCGCTGTAGTCACATTTTCCTTGACTAGTTCTGATACTTCCTCTAGACATCTTCTCATCTCCAAAACAAAGGGACTTTTCTGTATGCAAAGAGTAGGTAAGGATGGTGCTCATCCCATTCCTTCTGATTACTTGCTCTGAATTTTCTGATCATCGACTTAAGTGTTCCATTAAATCGCTACATTAGGCCATCAGTCTGTGGGTGATATGGGGAGGTCCTCAAACGACTAATGTTCAACAAGAGGTACATTTCTTGCAACAGCCTCGACATAAAGTTCGACCCTTGGTCTGTGAGGATCTTGTCAGGAATCCCAACCCTTGCAATCACTGATACAAGCTCTTTGGCGATTGTAATTGCTTCTGTGTTGGGTATGGGTATAGCTTCTAGATAACGCATCGCATAATCGCAAATTGTAAGAATATATTTGTTGCCATTGTTGCTCCTCAGGAATGGTCCAATAATATCCATAGCTATTGTCTGGAGAGGTTTCTTAATCAATGGCAGAGGGGGATCATCTCAGCTCGTGCTCCATATCTCTTTCCTTGCGCTCTCTGGCAAACCTCACATGTACGGCAATGATTGGCAACATCCTGGAACACACCAGGCCAGTAACAGCGCTGTAATACTCTGTCCTTGGGTTTTTTGATTCCTAGATGACCAGCTGCGGGTATATCGTGTGCAAGCTTGAGAACTGTGCTGCATCACTTTAGGGGAAGTACCAACTGTTCCACAGATCGGTTATCTTCACTGACACTTCCCTTTGATACCCACTGGCGATATAACAAGCCTTGTCTGTAAAAGAAAGTTGTTTCTGATATTGTTTCTTCCTGCTGTTTAGGTGCTCTTGCTAAGGCTCTCGCTTTCTTTAAGGTTGGGTCTTCTGACCGCCACTTCTGAATTATCTCAGGACCTGCATCCTCAGGATTAATACTATCTGATGCGGTTGTTTTGGTTTTGGGTTCTTCTTCCTCGGGTTTCCTAATCTCATCTTGTATGTTACGCGGTTCCCTGGTTTGTTCTGTAAAATCATTCCTAGCTTCCTTTTTGTCAGAAGTCTTATTTTCTCAGCATCTTCCACTTTTCTCTGCTTTTCAGCCTCTTTTCTTGTCTGTGATCTTGTCACTACAGCAAGATTGTGTGCACAGTTTGATTGGCTTGAGATTTCTTCTGACAAGTCAAAGTCCTTTATCCCTATTAAAACATCAACTGGTACTCCTGGTACAAGAGCTACCTTAGTCTTGTTTATCCAACCACCCATCTCCAAATCCACTTCTGCTGTTGGATAATCCACTGAATCCCCATGAACACAAACAACGTTTATAGTCTCTCCTCCATTCCACTTTTCGTTCTCCACAAGATCAGCTTTCACAATAGTTGCATAGCTACCAGTATCAAAAAGCATCTTTACATCTTTCCCCCCGATACTGCCTTCGCGCATGCACTTGCTGTTACTTGGGTCGCATACTCGCTGTTGACGTGATTCACTGACGAAAGCAGGCTTGGCATCTTCTTTAAAATTTGGCGTGGTTGTTCTTTTAGGGCAAACTGTTGCAATATGTCCCCATCTCTTGCAATTGTAACATTGTTTCTCACTTTGAGTATTTGTTTTGCTTCGAGGCAACATATTGTGTACTTCTGAAAGAGGAGCTCTGAAAAGAGGCCTTGATGATTCCTGTTTTTGCTGTGTCACTTTAATGGCAGGTTCACCTCGTAGTCGTTGGGGTCTGCTTAACCTCTCATATGGAGGCTTAGTTCCACAGGCGAGAACATAGTCATCAGCCATTTGTGCGACTTCTTTAGCTGAATTAGGTTTTCTTTCTTTAAGCCAAACTGATAGATCAGTTGACACTCCTTGAAGAAATTGCTCCAAAATTATCATGTCTCTGAGTTCCATCTCTTACGACTTTGTCCAGTGCTGGAAGTGTTCTTCTAAACGATTGACGTATTCATGATGTGACTCGCCTGGCTTGTAAGAATCATTTCGAAATCTCAGATGATACGTTTCAGAGTTCACGTAGTATCGTTTCAAGATGGCATGTTTTACTTCGTCATATTTCGTAGGCTTTTCAGTGGGAAGGGACGAAAAGGCTTTCAGGGCCTTTCCAGATAATACACCAGCTAACTGTGTTGCTCAAATAGTTTTCAGCCGTTTGTGGAGGGAGGCCACTCTCTCAAACATATCTAAAAAGCTTTCGATGTCATCCCCTTCTGTGAACTTTTGAAGTACTGGTTTTGGTAGCTTTACAGTGTCCTTTTCCTTTCTGGAATTTGTTAACTCTTTCATCTGTTCTGACAGGAGCCTCTACTCTTTCTCAATTTTTTTCCATTTCTTGTTCTTCTTGCCTTCTTAATTCTTTTTCTTTGGCTATTCGATCCTCCTTCTCTTTCTAGTCATCGCATCTGCATTGCTTGCATCTGAATAAGCATCTTCATAATTTGAACGTTTACTTCCGGCTGAGATGTAACTTCCGGTTGAGAAATTACCACTGTATCACCGGTTTTCAGCTCCATAAACTCACTCAAAAGATCAATCAACTCTGCTTTGTTTTTATCACCGAGGTCAATATGTCTCTCCACGCACATTTCCTTCAACCTATCAAAGGTAAGTGTATTCCGCTCCTTCTGTCTGGTTTTGTATTCCATAGCTTCGAGATCCATTGCTTCTACTCTTCTGTGGGTCCTTGCTTACTGATGTAAAACCTTTGCAAGGTTATCCCGACACTGCCACCAAAAATGTCATGAGGCCAGGAGACGATCCTTATTTTCCTTTTTAAACACTTTATTATTTATCTTAAACCTTATGATCTCTAACCTTATCTATAATAGCCGATTACATCATACTTATTTCTGAAACAGTATATTTAGCAGCAAGAACATTTTAGACGCTAATGATGACATATCCTTAAAAATAACTCAATAGAATGTTCCGGAATATGGAGAAGTTTGTAGCTCAGCTTATGCAATAGCGTTGTGGTAAATCAATGCTCCATTAATCTCTGGAGAATTCGTTACAGTAGTGTTAAGACAATCGCAGACGACATCCTTTTCTGGGGATAGAATGATGAAGAGCACAGCCTTCGCTTAGAGCAGGTATTGGAAAGATTAAGGAAAATTAGATTGAAGCTCAACAGAGGCAAAATGAAAATCAAGACCTCTCAAGTACCATACATTGCCCACATACTGACAGCAAATGGATTGAAACCAGATCCTAGCAGAGTGCGAGCAGTGGAGGAAATTCCATCCCAAGAAGACAAGGCAGCACTTTTAAGGTTCCTTGGAATGGTGAATTACATAAGTAAATCATACCTAACTTATCAGACCTCACCCAGCCCCTCAGAGAGCTTCTGCACAAGGATGTGGAATGGCATTAGCTGGAAAGGAAGGAGAAATCATTTAAAGCTATCGAAGATAACCTAACAAGAGATGCAGTACTCCAGTATTATGATGATGACAAGCCCATGACAGTATCAGTAGACACATCATCCTATGGACTTGGGGCGGGTCTAATGCAGGAGGGTCAGCCAGTGTGTTATGCATCGCAATCTTTGAACTCTGCTGAAAGAAATTATGCACAAATTGAAAAAAAACTGCTGGCAATCGTGTATGGATACACTAAGTTTCATCAGTATGTGTACGGCAGGAAAGTAAGAGTTGAAACCGACCACAAACCCCTGGAGCCATTGTTCAAGGTAAGAACTTGTACATTACAGACACTTTAAGCTGTGCCCCAGAAGGAAAAAGTGAAACTGTAGCCAAATAAAAGGATGAATTTGAGGTTATCATCATTGAGAACTCGCCAGCCAGTGAGGAGAAACTGGAACAGTTGGAAGAAGAAACCAGAGAAGATCCAACCTTACAGAAGCTCAAGAACACAGTATTTAATAGATGGCAGGAGAGTAAGTCCGAAATAGAACCAAAGCTTCAATAATATTGGAATGTCAAGGAAGAAATCATTTTTTGTGATGATCTACTGCTGAGGAATGACAAGCTTATTGTACCAAACGCACTTAGGAGGGAGATGCTTAGTCGAATTCACAGCAGTCATCTAGGCATTGAAAAGTGTAAACACAGAGCCCAGGATGTCCTGTTCTGGCCCGGAATGAACCAACAGATAGCAGACATGATATCCAAGTGCAGAACCTGTAACACGTACAGAAATGCTCAAACAAGAGAACCACTCAAGAGCCATGAAATACCAGGAAGACTGTGGCGGAAAATTGCGGTCAATCTCTTTGAACATGACAAACAAGATTATCTGGTCATGGTTGACTATCACTTAAAGTTCTTTGAGATATCACACCTGCCTGACAGCAGAAGCAAGACTGTAATCAACCACGTCAAACCCAACTTGGCAAGGTAGGGGATTCCAGAGATAATAGTCAGTGAGAACAGCCCTGAGTTCAGTAGCTATGAATTAGAAGAGTTTGCATTATTACGGGTTCAAGCATACTACTACATCACCAAGGTATCTGCAGAGCCATGGACTTGCAGAGCGAGCTGTTCAGACAGCTAAGAACATTCTAACAAAAGCAAGCAACTCCCCAGGATCGTATGTTGTCAAGTCAGAAGGAACAAGGTACAGAAGGAATAGGCGTGATCTGATTAAGACTGCTGAAGCAACTGAACATAACCGCCGAGCAACTGCAGATCAGTAACGGACGCTCAGAGATTCCCAAACCAACACCTTAAGTTCAGCTAAGGAGCCAGTAAATTCTGAGAGAGTCAGTCTCATGGGTCGCATCATTTGACCACCATCTTGGTTGAAAGACTATCACACCAGTTAGGGTGAACACTTTCAATAGGTTGTTTCAAGAAATTGTGTTGATGTTTAGTGAACAATGTTGCAGATGCAAGTAATGAACATTTAGCCAGAGACACTGACAGACTCTGTTCATTTTCTTCGTTTCATTTAAAAAAGGGAGATATTATGATACGCTAGTTACCAGGTTCTCAGCCTTTGTTATAGTGCCTCGTGTTGATGTAATAAAGTGGTTGTTGTAGAGAACAGCCATCTTGGATTACGTTCACAGGCTTGCGAGTGAGTTTGAGAACATAACACCTATCATTGTAGAGTAACCTTCAGGGTCAGACAACACCACATCATCAGGATTTTTTGTGCATTCACGTTCCATGGTTGTTCGACCCTCGCCGCTTGCTAGGTCCCACATCAACATCGTAAACAATCAATAATTTTCAACTTGTGACTCCGATTTTCCCCTGTAATTACAACAAACAATTCTTTCTCACCAATATAGAAGGTACTTGAAGTCGCCAAAATATTATTGCGAGAAGTTCATGGCACCAAATTCCAATAAACAAGGTCAAACGAACAAACGAGGTGGGTCAAAGAAACAACAACTCGAGCAAGGCCCACAACGATTTGAAGCAGCTTGAACTCACGGCAATTCAAGTAACTGTGTGACCAAATTTGCCCTCATTGGTTTTGTCAAGTGCTTCTCTAACTTTGTTACTCGAGTGAATGTCCAAAACCAAAGGAAATATACAAAAGACAAACGCAACTATCAAGCAGTTGACCAAAACAATTTCGGTACACAGAACATTTTCAAGCGACAGAGGTCATGTGACCAAAAAAGGTGGGAACACAGAAACAGGGAACCTAGCTAACACAAATAATATTACATGTTACAATGTGGCAACTTACACAGCAAAAGTATATAATCACACAATTCCAAACAAAGAAAGTCAGGTAATTGACTAACCAGCTTCAACTTTTGAGAGCTTGAAATAGAACGAAATCAATATGGCAAACAGTCACAATTAATACAAAGTTGAAAGTTTAAAAGCTAAGAGATAGACATAACAATCAACAAATCCTATGCATTTTAGCAAAAGAGGGTCAGTTACCACTATAACTTCTCTCAAACATTCATTATTACTGGAAATCGTTAATTTTTGTCACTGGGTGGTATTGTACTTACATTAGTTCTACTGGCACAAATGCATTTCTCTAAAGTTATCTCATAGCTTATGACTGTACAGGTCATGTGGATGGGGACTGACATTTCAATTACCTCAGCAAACTGCAATCATCAGAATTGCAAGCTGAGGTGTATTTACCAAGTTTCAAAAGTAGTGGCTCAATTGTTACAGTCAGTTCACTCCTTTATGAGGCCATCTTCAGCTTGATCATCCTGTTACATGTGAAAACATCAAATGTTACTCACATATTCAAATACTTGCTTGAATCAAAGTTCTATTTTTTTTAATAACCTGCTTCCTTTAACCCTTTAATCCCTGACAGTGACTAGCATCTAATTTCCCCTTTCAATATCACCCCTGAATCAAACATTAAGGTTATGAGAATAAAGGCAATAATAATAAACTGAAGAACCTCTTGATTGTAAAACAAATTCTCCCAGCCAGCACATAAGGAAATATATTAAGAACAGTATGAAGAATATGCATACTGATGTTAGGGTGCAAAGGGTTAATAGTACCCCGAAAATAGTATATGGTATTGGAAAGAAAGAAAGAAAGATCTTGAAACATTCTACGTTCTCACCCAGTTTTAATGTAGAATCCAAAATCTAATAAACTTACGAGTGAATAGGAAAAAGCATAATGTGTTTTTCCTGTTTCTGTCATTCTAAATATCACAAATCAATTATGCCGCCACTTCAGTGTGATTTTTTTTAGGATGTGAACTTTTTCTTATGGTCATCTATTTTTAGTATCTACCTTTTACCAGCTGACATCTGAGAAGAATCAAGTCCACACTGGTGATTTGACACATTGTAAGCAAACCCTACAACTGATTAAATTTCATTTGATCAAAAACATGAAGGGCAAAAGAAGAAATTGGCTAGTACAATTTAAGTTTCCATTCTCAAGTATTCTGTTATCGTTTCTTCTGCCATAGGGTAAAGTTTACAG